CACGTGCTGGCATTTTATGCTCCCAGACTAGCCTCCTCCGGCTGCAGTGACTCTCTGTGGTCCCGCTGGTGGGCCAGCCTTCATCTCTCAGTCCACTGAGCAAACACAGAGGCGTTCCATGTTCCAGTGCGCAGCAAAATGAGATTGCAAGTCAGATCAGGTGGCTGGACTAGGGATCTTTCTTCTTTTGCGCCTGTCATGCGGTCCATGAATATTCATTGCCCTCAGCTTGCCTGGACAGAGCCGAGGGGAGTTGGGCAACCTCCACTGGCCTGTTGTGCTTCTTCTCAGGCCAGGCCTGATTGGGCTGGGAGAGACCCTAGTTTGATTTAGCTCAGCGTATCTCTTACTTGAATCCCTTACTGCCTCCCTGTGAGGGCACTCTTACCTCTCAAGGACCCTCTGCCAAGGCTTTCTTGGCCTCTCTGGATTGCCCATGTCCCCCCAGTGTACTGCATCGACTCTGCTGGGTCCTCTTCTCCCTTTGCAATGACTTCTCTCCCTGGATGATCTCTTCTTTATGCATTTTTCTACCTAACAGACTCCCATTCTATGTCTAGCTTGGCCTTCTGGTCTTCAGATATTCACCTGCCTTTGGGAGCCACTCAGGGCTTGTCTCTGCACATGGTCCCCCATCCCACTCTCTGGTTAGAGGAAGTCAAAGCACTGTCCACCTGCCTTCTGAGTCAGAGCTTGGGACTTGTCCTTGACACCCTCTGAGTTCTGCCAGCCCATCTCTAGCTAGACCGTCGACCATCCCCTCCCGTGGGACAGCCTGCTCACTGGCTCTCAGCAATCTATCCTTATTACTAAAGCAGAGGGAGCCTTGCAGTCACAGGTCTCTTCATATCAGTCCCAGCTCCACTGTCAGAGCATCCCCATCATTTTTAGGTGTTGAAACACCCTCACATGGCAAGTAGTGCTCTGACTCAGATCTCCCTTGCGCTGCTTCCTTGGGAGCTGCCAGGACCCTCCTTATCTGGGGCCTCAGCCCCCTTCCCCAAGTCCTGAAAGCCCATGTGGGAACCCTAGCACATGATGATGACTCCCTGATAGATGTTCATGTCCGTGAGGCCAGGGCAGGCCTGCAACATGGTTCCTGGTACATGAGGGTACAAGGACTGTATCTGTGGAATGGGGCCATGTCTTGCATCAGATGTACCTCTATGTGGTCCTATGGCTACATAGGTCAAAGCTAGGTTTTTCTCTGTGGTTGTCTCTCAGGGCTTTGAGGAGAGCCCTGATTTCCCCCTGGCTCTTGTCTGCTGAAGGGCTTTATGCAGCCCTCCACTTTATTTCCAGGCAAATCTTTCTGGATGATGCTTCACTGGAATTTTACAAATTAAGCTTTAATACTTCAAAATTGTACATGCATATAGCTTAGAGAGTAAATAAGTTCTACAAGGTTAATTAAGAAAAACAGTAATCCCTAGCCACCCTTCTTCCCCCTCCCCAGAGTCATCTGTTTTCTGATTCTTATAGTAGATTCTTTTGATATTTATCTCTTCTCTAACATGCTTGTATTGCTATTTGATTTTTAAAACATGTTTAGACATTATTTATTGACTTGCAAGATGAGGATTGAAGTCTCTTTCTACATACACATGGATGCTCTCTCACAGGTACACACATGTACATACACAGGTACATATGCACCACACATACAGGCATATGTGCACTCATGCACACAACACACACACACACACACACACACACACACACACACAGAGGCACCCATAGGCATACATGCAACACACATGCATATGTGCCTACAGGCACACACGCAACACACACATGTACACACGTATGCACATACTTCTGCCCCCAGCCCCCCTCACACTCTCAGGAAGATTAGGGCTTTCTTAATGATAACCACCTGTGCTACTGAGAACTGAGCCTTGCAGTAGTAAACCAGGATGATTTTTCATCTCCTGTCCAACTTTTTGTCTTCCCTGGAGTTCATAATTGCCTTTGTTTGCCTAGTGTTTTATGTACTTCTCAGGAACTTAACCTGAGTCATTCCTCCAGTTATCTCAGTCTTATGTTCCTTCACATCAGTGGTTCAGCATTTTGTCTTTTTTGGAGAAACCTCTCTAGAACCTTCTGCTGGAGCCCAGTCAGCGGGTTACTCTCCCTGGGTGCCCCTCACCCTCCTTTGGTTTTGGGCAGTCCAACCTCCCTCCTTCTTTAGATGGTCCCTCATTTTGATGGAGCGTGTCTTCGAGGATGTCTACAAGTGTGTCCTCCTTTCCCTGAAAAGGCTGCATGGAGGGAATACTGGAGACTCCAGGTGTTGGAAGTACCCTCCTTTGACCCTTGCCCTGGCTCTGCTTCTAGCGTTGGAGCTGTCAGGACCTCCTGGTCACTGTAGTTTCTGATTCTGGATATGAAACTTGGTTTGTCTGAGGATACTTGCCTTGTTCAGGCATTCTTATGCTTCATGGGACATGACATGTGACCCTTTTCAGCTCTTGCATCAGGTCTGGTCAGTTGCCTTGATTCTGTTCTGGTGAGTCTCTTCATTCTGTTCTAACAAGTCTTTTCCTTGGCTTTCTCTGTCTCGCTTTCTGGAATTCTTGTTATTTAGATGTAGAAACTCCTGAACACATCCTGTCGTGTTCCCCCTTGATTTCTCTGTGTCATTTTGTTCCACTTCCTGGGAGATTTCAACTCTTTCCCCTCTTTCCTCTCTCTATGGAGTTCTTTATTTCTGCTCCCAGGTTTCCATTTCCCAGTGCTCTTCTGTGTTCTCTGAAAGTCCCTTTTTTCTGTATTCTCTTCCTGTCTCTGATTCTCATGATGACAACACGTGCTGTGTCTCTCTGGGGATGTTAACGGGGCCTTTGTTATCTGGGCTCCTTCCTTTGAGGGTAATACAGTGAGAACATGGGCACTGGAGCCAGACTGCCTGGATCCAAAACCTTTCTCTGCCAGATTCCAGCTGTGTGACCTTGGACAAGTTACCTCACCTCTCTATGCCTCAGTTTCCTCATCAACAAGGTGAAGATAGTAGTGGCCCTACCTCACAGGGCTGTTGTGAGGATGAATCTCTGGAGATAGTACAGTGCTTAGATGAATGTTGGCACATGCTCAGTATCCTGTAAGTGCTGGCTCTTATCCAACTGCTTTTTAACATTTCTTCTCTGGGTACTTTCTGTGTCCTCTAAGTTGTGTTTTCCCCACATGTCTGGGGCTGTTCTCTATGTTAGAGGTTTTCCCAGTGAGGTCCTGGTGTGTATGGGGAGCCCTGTGATCACTGTGCTGAGACCTGCCTCTCACTCATTTCCTGACCCTTGCTCGGAGCTTCCAGAATCCCACTCACCCTCAGAGCTCACTCTCCTCCACTGAGACCCAGATTCTTGTCCTCCCCTGCCCCCGGAAGCATCCAGAAATGGGAAGGAAACCTATGGGAGACTGGGTAGGTGTCTGGGACGTGAGACCTTAGAGACTCATGGAGAGTGTGGTCTGAGGATCCTTCTGCCAGCTGCACCCCTTTGTGGGACTGGATTTCTTCATAGGCCCCAACAGGAACAGTAGGGTGCACAGTTTGCTTGGGAAGCAGGTGTGAGAGTCCGGCTCTCACTGCTGAGCCTCCCAGAGATTGATGCATGTTTGTCCCTGAGAGGTTTTGCTTTGACAAATATAGTTATTTTTCAGAAAAAGTTATTTGTATTCACAGTAATGGTTTCATTATTTTTTATTTCAAAATGAATAAATTAATATTTTTGAAAAACTCTCCATTTTAATTTCTAATGGAGGAAACATTGACAGATATAATCCACATCAACCAAAGCTCTTTGGGGTCCTTGATAATTCTTAGCTGTGTAATTAAGTCCTGAGTTTGAAAGGCTTGGTGCCTGGTGCTGCCCTGCCGTGGATGGGGCTGGATGATCAAACTGGGCATCTTGCTTAGAGGGGATGCAGGGTCATGCTGCCTCACCCACGTTGACCCTAGGTACTTGGGCCCGCTTCTCACCCTCTGTGAGGCTCTCTTTGCTCTCAAACCCACATTTTTCCTCAGGGTTTTTGTGCGGGTGGCTTGGGTAGTTGCTGTGAAGTGTTTAGAACCAAGCCTGGCCTGGATGGCAGGTTCTGTTGTGATATTGTTAGGATGTAGGCAGATCAGACAGCTGTCCCCACAGTGACTCGTGCATGCAGGGGTGATGCTGCAGGGGCAGTGAGCCTGTGGGTGGTTACTCTGGGAATGTCTAGGCTTTAGAGGGCCCCTCTGTCCTCTTGTTGCTCACTCAGAGTCCTGGAGCTGTGGTTCACAGGAGGAGCTGCCCTGGCCAGAGGTATCTGGTATCATACTAAGGATGGTGCCAATATAGAGAATTAGGTATTAAGCACTTACTGTTTATCAGCCCTTAATGTGTTTACCTCTCTTGGCAACCCTGAGATGTGGGTCTTGTGGCCTGTGCTCAGCTGTATAAGTAACAAGCAGCTGCGGTGGAGTCACCCCAGGAAGCCTGACTGGGCTTTGCCACTGTCAGGTACAGCTCAGGAGGATGGAGCCAGAGACATTGGAAGGCAGCGTGAGCTCTGGGTTCTTGGCCCCAGGGCAGGGCCTAGCTCACCCCATGCAGTGGATATGTACCTGCATGTTGGGGAACAGTGGGGACCCAAGTGCTCCCAGAAGTCAGCAGAGTGGGCTTGTAGGGGAGTTGGAGAGTAAGGCCAACTGGTTCTCCAAATGGGACCTCCCTGGTCTTTAGGGCTGGCCAGAGGGGTTACCCTGCTGGGGGTCCTCATCGGGAGGGGATGGGCCTGCCTTCTTCAAGCTGTGTTTGTGTTCACAGTACTGGGACCAGTGAAACAAGGGCCGCCTAAAAGGGGCTTTATGGGGATTATTGCCCTGGAGTTGGCGAGAAGCCTTGGGTACCTTGGGAATGGTTGCAGTGGAACCAGTCTCATGGGGTCTGGGGGCACGATGGCCTTGTGTGCCCTGAATCTGAGCTTTAACCCCTTTCTTCTTCCCTTTCCCAGTTTTCTTGTCTCCTCCAGCTCAGTGAGGAGGCTGCTAGCCCTGCCCTCTTAAGAAGATGTCTTATGGATCCATCGCTGGTGGAAGTGGCCTGGGGAGCCGTGGCCCTTTTGGGGGACCCTCGAGAAAAGGCTATCAGCCCCTAGGTAATGACAACAGCTGGTGTTGGGGGTGGTGGGGAGGATGGCAGTGGGTGGGATCTTCACTGCGTCTTGCTGGTGGCAGTAGACCAGTTCTGTTCTTCCGAGCAATGTTACCTGTGTCCCAAGACCATGGGTGATTGCTGAGCTCTGGGTGATTCGGGCCCCCCAGGAGGAAGGCTCAGGAGGGACTGCCTTGCATTGGGCAGAACTGGGTGTCTGAGTTCATGCTGGGCATGGAGCTGGTGTTCAGAGTGCCCAGTTGCTGATCGGTGGCACTCGGGGCATTTGGAGAATGGTTGAGAGAATGAAATGACCTCGTCTGGCCGTCCTGCTAATGGTATGGAGCAGGAGGCACTTTGCACAGTGGACAGAGAAGGAAACTGAGGCCCATGGGGGTGGTAAGTGATTCCCCAAGGCTATGCACCTGGTGCAGGGCAGAGATGGGATCTACTTCTAGATATTTCTGAGTGCCAAATCCCTGCTCTTTCCACTTCACAAGTTTCATCCACGCCCCACCTGCAGGCTGGCCCCTCTGTGGTTCTCATGGCCATCTGAATGTCATGATCGTGCCCTGGCCCCTTCCCCTACTTTCCCCTCTGCTGTCAGCTTAGGTTGTGGATCCTGCCCCTCCATGCAGGCAGGCCCATTGGGCAGCATCTAGGTCAGAGCAGCCGCCATGAACAGCTGTCTGGTAGTGAAGAAGGGGATTTAATCTGGGGCCTTGAACTCTGCTTACCTCTCTCTGCCCTGGGCTCAGGCCTCAGGCTCAGTTTTGCAGCTCTTGCAGGCCTGCAACTCCTCCTCTACCACAGGGCTTGGCTTCCATGGAGCCTTGGGGCCCTCCTCTGCTCCCCTGAGGGCTGGGCTCAGGAGGGCAGCCAGTGTCTGCCTCACCTGTACTGGGGTATGATGGCACAGGGAAGATGTGGGTCCAGACATGTTGGAGTGTGATGACTGTCTCCCTTCTCACTGTGACATCTCTACTTAGCACCTCCCAGGTCAGGCCCGGACTTGCTGCTGGGGTCAAGGGGTTCTTCAGGACGCCACCCATCCTCCCACTGGGAGTACCAGGCTGCCTGGTCTCCTCCCACTTTGGCCTCCCTTTCCTCCTCTTGGGACCATCCATCCAGAGTCCATTGTGCACCTGGCAGTGTTCTAAGTGTCAGGGTACAGGACAGAGAAAACAGGTGAGCCCTGCGACCGTAGGGGGCCCATGTCTGACAGGGATGTTTCTGAGATCATCTTTCTTGCATACTAGGAAGGAAATGAGGAGCCAGGGGCTAGGATGCTGGCCCGAGGTGAGGCGCTGTTTGAGCTGAGGAGGCCAGGGAAGGCCCTTAAGGAGGTGGAGCTTAGTAGGGTGTAGAAGAGGATCCTGGAGGAGGCAGCCCCAGGGGACCTTAGGGAGTGTGTTCTAGGGAATAGGCAGGGCTATGCCAACATGGAATAAGATTCCTTCCATGGGTGCAGGAGCCAGTGCGGCCTTAAGCAGGGCATGACTGCTTTATTGACTTAATGTTTAAAATGTGTTCTTAAGCCGGGCTCAGTGGCTCAGCCTGTAACCCCGCGCCTTTGGGAGGCTGAGGTGAGTGGATTGCCTGAGCCCGCGGGTTCGAGACCCGCCTGGGCA